TCTACTATATTTCAATATATTAAAACTAATGATTAGAAACTGGAGTTTTTAAACAAAAGATACTATTTACAGTAGCATCAAAAACTACCAGATATCTAGACAATCTATCAACTATCTAGACAATCTATCAAATATCTAGACAATCTAGTAAAGGATATACAAGCCTTCAACACAAAAACCATAAAATGCTACTGAAATTAAAGAGTACCTCAATAAATGTAGGGTTATACCATGCCCATTGATTGGAATACTTAATACTGTAAAGGTATCAATTCTATCCAAATTCATCTACAGATCCAATATAATACAAATCAAAGCATAGGTGCTTCTTTAGATACATCCAAAATTTATGTTCATATGCAAAGGACTAGAATGACCAGATAAGTACTAGATAATCTGAGAAAAAAATGGGAACTTTTTTTTGAGAGACAAATACTAAGTCTTTTTCTAAAGCTTGTATTATAAAGACAGCATGATATTCCACAAGGATAGCTGACTAAACCCATAGAACAGAACAGCTGGTTCAGAAGCAGGCCCTCACGTATTTGGACGTGCTTGATTTATGAAAAGAGTTGCTCTGCAGAGCAGTGGAGGGAAAGATGATCTCTTCAATAAATGGTGCTGGGTCAACCAAATATCCATATGGGGAAAAATCTATCTTCATCCCTACCTTAGACTATAAACAAAAATCTATGCCAGAGAGACTGCAGATTATATAAATGCAAAAGGTGGAAGAATAAAGCTTTTAGAAAAAAAATTCATAATTTTAGAGTAGGCAAAAGTTTCTCAAAGCATACTCAAAAAACATTGAATTTATAGGGAAAGTTTCATAAATCAGACTGTATTAAAATGAAGAACTTCTGTTCATCAAAAGATACCATTAAGAGAGTGAAAACACAAGCCGCAGGGTAAGATATTCACTACAGACATACCTCACAAGGATTCCTATCTAAAAAATATAAAGAGCTCCTACAAATCGTTGTTTTTTTTTTTTAAACCCAATAGAAAAATGGGCAAAACACCTAAACAAACATTTCATTAAAGAGGTTATTGAAATGAACATAAATATATTTTTTAAAGTTCTCAACTGTGTTAGTAATCAGGGAAATACAATTAAAACCACAATGTTATACCATTACCAATCTATCAGAATGGCTAAGATTAAAAAGACAGACAATACTAAATGTTAGCAAGGAGTTTAAGTTGGTACAACCACTTTGGAAAACTTATGTTCTACTTAAGCTGAACATAAGTAAACCCTATGACCTAGTAATTCCATCCCTGGGTATATATCAGTATACATGTTCAAAGACATGTATTATCGTGTTTATAGGTATACTATTTATAATATAAAAGGTCCAAAGTGAAAATTACCCAAATGCTAATCAACAGCAGAATGGATAAGTAAATTGTAAAACATCCACAATTAAATACTATATTACAGTGAGAATAAATGAACTATATCTACACACAAACATAATGTTAAGCAAAATATATGTAAGGTACTTCGTTTGCATAAATACAAAATGAGGCAAAGCAAATCTATACAAGATGTCAGGCTAATAGTTACCCTTGGGGCAAGGGTGGTGGCTAGATGAAGACAGGAGGAGCGCTTCTAGGATGTGGCAATGTCCTGTTCTTATGAGGATGTTAGTTGCTTGGGTGTGTTCAGTTTGCACTTTTCTGTATGTATATCATACTTCAATAAAAACTCAAGAAGAATCAACTCGAGGTGGATTATAAAACTAAATGTGAAAGGCAAAACAATCTTCTAGTAGGTTACATAGGAAAATATGGTGGGGGTAAGGAAAGATTTCTTTTTTTTTTTTCTTTAATTTTTCTTTTCTTTTATTTTAACCATGGTCCTTATGTTAAGTTCATTTATCTTGAAATGGTGAGTAACTGCAGCCACAGACCTCAATCTCTGGTACATACTGAGCAATTCAACTTTTTCTTGTAATGTCATGACTTTTCCCTACTTCTTTTTTTTTTTTTTGAGACAAGAGTTTTGCTCTTGTTACCCAGGCTGGAGTGCAATGGCGCGATCTCGGTTCACCGCAACCTCCACCTCCTGGGTTCAAGCAATTCTCCTGCCTCAGCTTCCTGAGTAGCTGGGATTACAGGCACACGCCACCATGCCCATCTAATTTTTTGTATTTTTAGTAGAGATGGGGTTTCACCAAGTTGACCAGGATGGTCTCGATCTCTCGACCTCGTGATCCACCCGCCTCGGCCTCCCAAAGTGCTGGGATTACAGGCTTGAGCCACCGCGCCCGGCCAGGAAAGATTTCTTAAGGCACATGCATGTGCACACACACCCAACCCATGAACCTAAAGAAAATAATTGAACTACATAAAAATCGGAAACTTCTCAGTCAGGGGTGGTGGCTCACGCCTGTAATCCCAACACTTTGGGAGTCCAAGGCAAGTGGATCACTTGAGCTCAGGAGCGGGAGACCAGCCTGGACAACATGTTGAAACCTCATTTCTACAAAAAATACAAAAATTAACCAGGCCTGCTGACCTGTGCCTATAGTCCTGGCTATTCGGGAGGCTCAGGTGGGAGGATCTCTTGAGCCTGAGAGGTCGAGGCTGCAGTGAGTCCTGATGGCACCACTGCACTCCAGCCTAGGTGACAGAGCACGACCCTGTCTCAAAAGAAAAAAAAAAAAAATTCTAATCATTAAACAATACCATTAAGAGTGGAAAGGCAAGCTGCAGAGTGTGTTCATATCCTTTATAAAGAAATTTCCCACATCAGTAAAAAGAAAGGCAGACAACTCCATAAGGAAAAAAATGAGTAAGGGACTTGAAAAGGCACTTAACAAAGGAAGCTATCAGAATGGGCAACATACACATGAGAAGGTTCTCAACTTCATTAGTTATTAGAGAAAAGAAAAGCAGTATCACAGTACCACCACACACCCATCAGAATGACTAACGTTAGAGACTTGAAATGCCAACAAGGCTGAAGCTGGAAGCCACGAAAACCCTTATACACCGATGGAGTGTGTATTTCAGCCTCTTAGCATAACTGTTAGGCGTTACTCACTGATGATAGATATCATACCCTATATCCCAGCAATTCCACTCCAGGAGAAACTCATGCAAATGTGCATCAGATTCACATACCAGAAAATTCACAGCAGCATTACTCAGAATAGTCCTAAACTGAAAACAACCTTGATGTCCATCAACAGCAGAATAAGTAATTTTCAGTATAATATATACAATGGAATTCTCTTCAGCGGCAAAAGCAAACAAACCATCTCTGTATGCAACTTGGATGGACTCCAGCATAACATAGACCCAAAGAAACTAGGCCAAAAAAAAAAGGGTACTGCAGGATTCTATTTATTTTTTTAGTTTTAAAAATTTATATTTTTTATTGTTGTATTGTTATTTTTTATTGTTTTTTCCAATTTTTTTTTTTTACTTTTTTAAAAATTGTACTTTAGGTTCTGGGGTACATGTGCTGATCATGCAGGATTGTTGGGTAGGTACACACATGGCAAAGTGGTTTGCTGCCTCCACCATCCCCCCACCCCATCACCTACATCTGGCATTTCTCCCCATGTTATCCCTCCCTGACCTACCCCCTCCCCCTGCTATCCCTCTCTTGCCCGCCCCCCACAGACCCCAGTGTGTGATGCTCCCCTCCCTGTGTCCATGTGTTCTCATTGTTCAACACCTGCCTATGAGTTAGAACATTTGGTGTTTGATTTTCTGTTCTTGTGTCAGTTTGCTGAGAATGATGGTTTCCAGATTCATCCATGTCCCTATAAAAGACGCGAACTCATCGTTTTTTATGGCTGCATAGTATTCCACGGTGTATGTGTGCCACATTTTCTTTGTCCAGTCTATCACTGATGGCATTTGGGTTGCTTCCAGGTCTTTGCCATTGTAAACAGTGCCGCTATGAACATACGTGTGCATGTGTCTTTATAATAGAATGATTTATAATCCTTTGGGTGTATACCCAGTAATGGGATTTTCTGGGTCAAATGGAATTTCTAAAACGAGTCTGTGGTGTCGGGTTCGCGGTTGCCTTTGGGAAAGAGGGAGGCTTTCAAAATAGTGGGGTTTTCTGTATCCCGGCGTCTGCTATGCAGTTGTGTTCACTCTGGTCATTAAACGAGCCAAGCTGTAAACACCTCATTTGCACACTTTTCTGTATATCATACTTTATATGAATATTCAGAAGTCTAAAGGCCGCAAGCTTAACGGCAAACCCTACTAGGCCCGCGGCTGGGTTGCACTGCGGGGCGGTGGAGTTGTCCCAGCGACCTGCCCCGGGTGGGTCACCTAGCTCGGGAACTCAGCTGTAGCCTGGGGCCGGGGCCGAGGCCTAGGCTCCGGACAGGTACCTGAACTCGTGGACCCTTCACTGAAGCCCACAGGTCCCCGCGCCTGCTGGGGACAATCACAGCTTCCCCTCCCACCTCAAGGTGAGCCAGTGCATGAGAAAGTTCCCCTCGGGTGTTTCCACATTCGCCTTAACTTTCTTTTTTTCTTTTTTTTTTGAGACGGAGTTTCACTCTTGTTGCCCAGGCTGGAGTGCAATGGCGCGATCTCGGCTCACCGCAACCTATGCCTCCTGGGTTCAGGCAATTCTCCTGCCTCAGCCTCCTGAGTAGCTGGGATTACAGGTACGCGCCACCATGCCCAGCTAATTTTTTTTGTATTTTTAGTAGAGACGGGGTTTCACCATGTTGACCAGGATGGTCTCGATCTCTTGACCTCCTGATCCACCCGCCTCGGCCTCCCAAAGTGCTGGGATTACAGGCGTGAGCCACTGCGCCCGCCCCGCCTTAACTTTCAAACACCAGCGTCTGGAATCTGAGGTCCGTCAGACTCCAGATACACCCCAGGAAAGAACCCAGAACCAGACACGTGCCCCGCGCGTGCGCCAGGACGGCGGCCAGAACACTCCCGGGGGCGTGGTTCTTCGATTGCTTCGGCCTGGCGGTCGAGCTGCGCGCGCACTCTGCGGATGCGATTGGTGCTGCCTGGCGGCGGAGCGCGGGGCACGCTGGGACGCGTCGCTGGCGGGAGGCAGCGGCCTTTCGGCTGCGCTGGGAAGCCGGGGGCGGCAGAATGGTCAAGCTGACGGCGGAGCTGATTGAGCAGGCGGCTCAGTACACCAACGCGGTGCGCGACCGGGAGCTGGACCTCCGGGGTGAGTCCGGGGCCGCGGGCGGGCAGTCCCCGGGCGGCACTGCGCCGCCTTACGAGCCGCGCTCCGCCGCGTGCACCGAAGGCCGGAGCTCGGCCCGCGCGCGGGTGAGTAATCTGGTCTCCGATCGGGCTGCGCCGAGACCGCCGGCCTGTTTCTTGCCGTTGTTGCCAATCGCGCATCCCGTTAGGCTCCTGGGAGCCTTCTGTTACCGCCGTGCCTCCTGACAGGCACGGGCGACTTCGTTACTTCCTGGTTTGTACTCGTGGGGCTCTGTGAGGCCTTGCTTGGCTGTTTCGTAGCCGACTCAGGGCCGGGAAGAGCGACTCATTCATGGTGATAACGCTAGTGCAGGGCGAGCGATTGGTTCTTAATACTTGGCCGCCGGGTGATATTGCGAGTGTAGATAGGAGATGTGTTCATTATTCTTAATGTGATGGAAGAAACTAAGTCCCCGAACAAAAGCGATTGTTTACCCCAGTATTTTCTACTTAGTAGCTTTAATTGTCTGGCGTTTCCCCTATGTGAAGATGTTTTAAAGATTGAACTGTTTCACCCAGGCTTCCAGCGCCGGGTGCTGTATGTAAGTTGTGGAAGCGCTCACAATTATTTAGATTCCTGTACTGTTTGAACCTTAGTAAGACTTGATAAGCAATTGGGAGGGCAGCTAGCTAGTTGGCATTTCTGGAGACCGCTTTAGAAAGAATGTGAAGAGCAACTTCTCTGGGGATTAAGACCATGCAATCGTAGCCTGAGATTAGTTCCTACGGGGACCTATGGTCTCGGGATTTCCTTTGATTTCTTGCTGACCTTTGGGAAATCCCAGTGTTTTGTGTTGTATTGCGTTGAGATGAAGTCGTGTTCTTTCGCCCTGGCTGGAGTGCAGTGGCGTGATCTCAGCTCACTGCGGCCTCTGCGGCCCTGGTTCAAGTGATTCTTGTGCCTCAGCCTCCCGAGGAGCTGGGATTTCAGGCGTGTACCACTGCGCCTGGCTAATTTTTGTATTTTTAGTAGAGACGGGGTTTCACGATGTTGGTCAGGCTGGTCTTGAATTCTTGACCTCAAGTGATCCGCCCCCGTTGGCCTCCCAAAGTGCTGGGATTACAGACGTGAACCACTGCGCCCAGCCCCCAGTTTGTTTGTTTGTTTGTTTGTTTGAGTCGGAGTTTTGCTCCTGTTGCCCAGGCTGGAGTGCTATGGCACAATCTTGGCTCAATGCAACCTCCCCCTCCTGGGTTCAAGCAATTCTCCTGCTTCAGCCCTCCCCCCAAGTAGCTGGGATTTCAGGCATGTGCCACCACGTCCGGCTAGTTTTATATTTTTAGTAGAGACAGGGTTTCTCCATGTTGGTCAGGCTGATCTCGAACTCTTGACCTCAGATGATCCGCCCACCTCGGCCTCCTAAAGTGATCGGATTCCAGGCGTGAGCCACCGCGGCCGGCCCAGTATTTTTATTTTGTTGAATTTAAGTTTCTTAGAGAAAGATTCAGTTGAAGAGCAAATCATCACTTACGGTGATCTCTGCCATTATCTCTTTATGGAGTGCGTGCAGTGTTGAGAATACTAATTTTGATGCAGTACTTGTATGTAGTACAGCTCTGAGTTGTGTACTTTAACTTCGGCTGAGTTTTTTTTTTGTTTGTTTGTTTGTTTTTTTTTTAATAGACCTTGCTTCTTCGGAATATTTCTTTTAGCTCCTAACATAATAATGCCCAAATTAAACAAATTAACATTTGAGTGTTCACAGTGTGATTTATTACTGTATGTAAACTATTGACCTCCAACTCTGAATTGGATCTGGGGGAGAGGATGGAGAACTGTCATGCTATCTTGAGGCTGTTCTGATGGGTTCTAAGATTCTGGCCTGTGGGGGTGCAAGAGGTGGAGAACTGTTGTCCACGGTGTTTGAACCTTGTTTGGGCACTGAAACTGAGCAGCCCAAAGTGTAAATTCCTGTTGTGCCGCTTCCGCCTAACGAGCCCTGAAGATGTAGAACAGTGTGCACCTTGTAAATGGTCTTATAAATGTTAGCTAACTATCTCACCTATTATTATTGTCTTTGTCCTTGTTGCCATCAGACTGTAAGCTTCATGGCACTGGGGACTTGCCACTCTCATTCAGCATTTTATCTCTAATACCTTATACAGTGGCAAGGCATAGGTAACATGGTGTAGGTGCTGGGTAAGTAATACTTCCTGAATGAATGAAGGCCTGGAGTCTGCTTACTCTGAAATACTGCTCATCTTTTAAGGGGCTATTGAGTTATATTAATACCTCTTGTGTGTGTGGTTTTTTTTCCTCCATTTCACAGGGTATAAAATTCCCGTCATTGAAAATCTAGGTGCTACGTTAGACCAGTTTGACGCTATTGATTTTTCTGACAATGAGATCAGGAAACTGGATGGTTTTCCTTTGTTGAGAAGACTAAAAACATTGTTAGTGAACAACAACAGAATATGGTAAGTGTCTGCTGGGAAAGTCATGTTTCCACCTACAGTAAATGTTGCAGTGTTCCCTGAAGTTGTAGCACATACTACCAGTTAAACCTACGTTTATTTTTTTTTTTTAATTTTTATATTTTTTCCATAATGGGAGCCATATTCAATATATGTTTCTTCTTAAAATGAGAAATGAACTTTTCCTTTAGCGATCCAGAGATTAACCTGGCATTAGTCTAGTCTTACTTGTATCTATTCAGAAATCGTGTATTTTTATTTTCATGGTAAGTTTCTAATTTAAATTAAAAACATGGTGCTTTGTACACATTTTGGCTTCTAAAACACTTATCAAAGGGGTCATAGTAAAAGGATATATAAAGGTAACAATTATATTTTTGACTGAGCTTCTCTTATTTTTTTTAACTGCAACTGATTTCTAGACTGTTAATTACTGAAATTGAGGTCTTTTTTGGCCCTGTCGTCACCAGCTCTGTGTAAACTTAGTTGGAAAAAAAGCACTCGGTTTATAGATAATATCTTTAAAAGTGCTGGGTGGTGAGTGGGAGTTCCTTCAGATAGAAATCTTTCTCACAGGTTCACCCCTCCCCTATAGTATAGTTGTGTCTTGTACCTGAGCTGTGAATGCAGAATTATTTGCATTTCTGTGCTGCCTGCACAAAAAGTCATGAAGTGAGTTAAGCAGTTCGTGCCACCCAGGAGTTGCACCTTTTCTCAGGTTCCGCTAGATGGTGTGGCAGAATTAGCTCCAGGCAGTGTCCCGTAGGCCTGGGTTCGTCCCACTTCTGTTACTGACCCTGTGGCCTCAGAAAAGGGTTCTTTTTGCCTTGTTTCCTCTTTGTCAGGGTGTTGGAAGAAGGATCTGTAAGTGTCTCTCTGAGATCCTCTGAGTAGGGAGGTAGATAAAATTGTTAGCTTATTTAATTTTCATTTTTACTAATACTCTCTTTTTATTTTAGCCGTATAGGTGAGGGACTGGATCAGGCTCTGCCCTGTCTGACAGAACTCATCCTCACCAATAATAGTCTCGTGGAACTGGTAAGCCGCATAGAAGGAAAATGTATTTGGTGGGTGGGATTAAAGGTACTATGTGCTTCCTACAAAAATTTACAAATTCTAGGAAATCTCACAGAAAATAATCTCATCCTCTTTCTTATCTTTTTCCTAATTCAGGATCTGGGCCTTTTGGGTTCTGCAACTGTATGTTGCAAATATTTTCCTCTTCTTACTTATCTTTTGACTTGGATGTCTTGTTAGAGAAGTTCCTAATTTAGGTACAGTTCAATTTATGAATCTTTTCCTTTATTTAGCGATTTTGATGTTTAAGCTTCCCCTAACCCAGGGCCATAAAGTCCTATGTTATTTGCTAGAATTGCAGTGTCCAGTATAGAACCAGTAACTACAGATGGCTACTCAAATTGAGATGTGCAAGAACTATAGAACACACACTGGATTTCAAAGACTTAAGTGCAAAAAAAAGTAAACTCTCTCAGTAACTTTTTTTATGTCAATGTTGAAATGATAATGTTTTGGATAATGGCTTAAATGGCATATTACTAAAATTGGCTTCCCCTATTTATTTTAACATGGCTACTAGAAAATTTTAGGTGACATGTCTATGTGCATGAAATCTTGTTGAACAGTTCTAGTCTAGAAACCCTGCTTTACTCCTCTTTAGATGAACAGTCCACTTGGAACTGATTTCCTTAGAACTTGGGGCACGTTCCCTTTACACTATGTGGATATGATTATTTTGACCTATTTATTTTTATGCTTTTTAAATTTCTGCTCTTTGTATCTATTTTTTAACATAATTGAGATACTGTATATTGCATTGTAACCTAAATTTTCACTTAAACACTGGATGTTTAAATTCATGTTGTAGGCCAAGTGCCATACCTTCTGCCTATAATCCAAGCACTTCAGGAGGCCAAGGTGGGAGGATCAGTTTAGCCCAGGAGTTCTAGACCAGCCTGGGCAACATAGTGAGACCTCTTCTCTATGAGTAATTAAAAAAAAAAAAAAAAAAAGGCTGGGTGCAGTGGCTCATGCCTGTAATCCCAGCACTTTGTGGGGGCCGAGGTGGGCGGATCACCTGAGGTCAGGAGTTGGAAACCAGCCTGGCCAGTATGGTGAAACTCTGTCTCTACTAAAAATACAAAAACTAGCTGGGTGTGGTGGTGGGCGCCTTTAATCCCAGCTTCTCGGGAAGCTGAGACAGGAGAATCGCTTGAGCCCAGGAGGAGGAGGTTGCAGTGAGCTGAATTCTCACTACTACACTCTAGCCTGGGTAACAGAGGGAGATTCCATCCCCCTCCCCCCCCCCCCCCCCCCCCCCCTGCCAAAAAAATTAGGCAGATGTGGCAGCATGTATCTGTGGTCCCAGGTACTCGAGAGGCTGAGGTGGGAGGATCGCTTGAGCCACAGCAGTTAAGGCTGCAGTGAGCCGTGACCGTGCCACTGCACTCCAGTGAGGGCAATGGACTGAAACCTCATCTCAAAAAAAAAAAAAAATTATATAACTTAATTTTGATTTATGACCTGACCTTCCATATTTCCCTGATTGTTGAGAATGAACTGTGTTCACTCCTTGTGGACAAGGTCCATAGCATCCTTCAGATTCTCAAGGAGATGCTTAACTACAAACATAAGAAAGCACTCCCAAAGTGCTGGAATTACAAGCATGTGCTATGCGCCCAGCCAAACACTTCATCACTTTTTGGATCATCTTCAGTGGTGTAAAACAGTATCAAGCTCTAGAGCTCCCTCTGGTGGTTTTGTGACATATTTGAAGATGGTCCATGGCCATGTCCTTTCTAAAGTGTGTGAAGTACTCAATTCGAAATACACATTTATAGGCAATGTGTCTCATGATAGGTGCTGTTAAAGAACTTTCAGTTGTATTTAAAGCTCTTTGCAAAAATGAAGACTCTTGGGCTTAATCAGTTACTGAAAGAGGTACATTAGAATCTCACAGCATGGTAGTGGTTTTGACTGTCCTGAAGTTCTATTGATTTTAGTTTTATATATTTTGAAGTTGCCTTATTTGATACATACAAATTTTTAATTATTAATATCTTTCTGGTGAATGGAATCTTTTTATTATGTTGCTACTCTCTTTATTAATGCTATTTACCTTGAGGTTTCTTTTACCTGATATACCGAAACAGTCTTTCTTTTGGTTAGTATTTGCATGATAAATCTTGTTCCATCCAAAGTTCTGTACCTCTTGTATTTTAGATTTATCTCTTGAAAACAGGGTATGGTTGGAATTTTTAAAATCCAGTCTGAAAGCTCTTTAACAGTTAATTCACTTAAAGTGAATTGTTTATATTTCATCTGTTTACATTTAATGTAATTACTGGCGTGTTCAGTTTGTCTTTTCTCTGTTCTGGGGCTTTCTGTTTGTCCCACCCATTCTGCCTTCCTTTTTCTCTCCTTTATTGTACGGCTCTCTCTCTGTCATTCCATTTTTCCTTCTGATGGTTCAGAAATTATTTACTCTCTTTCAGTCTTTAGTTAGCATCCTAGGGATTAAAACACACATATTTATCAAAGTTTAAAATTAAATGCTAAGATCACGGTACTGTGACCTTCAGCATTTAATTTTAAACTTTGACACGTTTACTCTCTTAAACATACATACAGTGACCTTCAACATTTCAGCACCCATCAGCTTGTTCCATATTTATTCTTTTTGGAAACCCATCACTACATCACCATTATGTTTTACACTGTGTATGTCACAATATTATCACTTTGTTCTTTTTTTTTTTTTTTTTTTTTTGAGACGGAGTCTCACTCTGTTGCCCAGGCTGGAAGGCAATGGCATGATCGCTGCTCACCGCAACCTTCACCTCCCGGGTTCAAGAAATTCTCCTGCCTCAACCTCTCGAGTAGCTGGGATTACAGGCATGCACCATCACACCCTGCTAATTTTGTATTTTTAGTACAGATGGGGTTTCTCCATATTGGTCAGGCTAGTCTCAAACCCCCGACCTCAGGTGATCCACCTGCCTCAGCCTCCCAAACTGCTGGAATTAAAAGCATGTGCTATGCGCCCAGCCAAACACTTCATTACTTTTTGGATCATCTTCAGTGGTGTAAAACAGTATCAAGCTCTAGAGCTCCCTCTGGTGGTTTTGTGACATATTTGAAGATGGTAGCTTGCTTTTTGAGAATTTCCGGCCCCGCTCTCCCTGTTTATATCTGTACTTTTTTTCTCATTGTGCCAGTTGCACACACACACCTTTCCCTTGCCATCTACCCAGTCTGGATCTGTTCAGCAGTTTCTGTCCAGTGCAGGGCCATGTTGGGACATGATTTCTGTCAAGAGTGAGGGCCCAAATTGCTGTTGCCATTTCACCCTTTATCACAGACCCCGGAAGTCATCATTGGAACATGCTGGTCTTTTGCCTGCTTTTCTCAGTCACTTTGGAGTTCTCCAGTTTGGCAGATGGTTCCTCGCCATCCCTCTGCTTCTTCCTGTACAAAGACTGTCACCGGGCAAGTCCTGTTGCTCTCGAAACGGGTTGTCTCTGCTTGTTCCTATTTTAGGGTTATTGGCAAATGTCTTACCATCTAGCTTGGTTGTGGCTGTTGACCACAGGTTTTCATTTTTGCTGTCCTTCTGCAAATGTTTTATGGAGCAATTGGAGAAGATTCAAAAATCACCCTACCTTCTTTCCATTAATTCGGTCATTTTTAAACTATAGTATTCCTTGTCCTTGCAAATTTTATTTAAAGAGATCCGCGGGGGCGGCTAGGAGAAACGTGCCTTCTTTCAAAGGATGGTACGCCTTTGTTGTTCTTAGACACTGAAGCTGGTGCTAGCAGAAAAGCCCACCTTCCACTAAGATTCTGGCTTGCAGTTGTGCGGTGAATAGCTTGCTCCAGAGTCCCATCAGCTTTGCCATTGTTTTCTTTTCCAAATCGTTGCTCAGCAGCCGCTTTGAGATTGCCTTAGGGAAGCAATTTTTTGTCTTCTGCTGTTGAGACGGAAGCTGTTAATGCCAAGATTTTAGGTTTAAGAAGCTTGAATGTATTCACCAGTAGAAATTATTTAAGCATTTGTGATGTGCTAGTATTGGGCTTGGTGCTAGAGAGTAAAAGTTAAGTAAATAAAGACAACGTGGATACTTGCTTCAAAATCACTCTCCATTTCAAAATCTCAAAATAGCATGTGGTATTTCTTACCGGTGGCTGTTGCTTTACAGGGTGATCTGGATCCTCTGGCATCTCTCAAATCGCTGACTTATCTAAGGTATGGGAATTATGCATTTTGACAAAATAAATGAAGTCCTTTAAAATAACATTGCCTTTACCAGCCTTGACCTTAATGTAATCAGTTAATTTAAAGTGCCTGTTAAAAAGAAATATTGAGTATGTTTCCTTAATGTTAAATTGTTACAACGTTGAAACGTGAAGAATGTGGGTGTTCCCTTGGTTTATATGTGCCTTAGACTATTCAAACAGACCTCTTGAGTGCTGTGCCGTGAACAAGATTGGCATTGTGTTATTCCTTTTCTTTTAGTATTCTAAGAAATCCGGTAACCAATAAGAAGCATTATAGATTGTATGTGATTTATAAAGTTCCACAAGTCAGAGTACTGGATTTCCAGAAAGTGAAACTAAAAGTAAGTAGTAATTCGTTGCCTGTGAGTCATTGGAGAGTTGTGTTTTTCTTTATACTTCTATTACTGATTATTAAAATTGTCTAAATGAGTAAATTTTGCCATTAGTTTTTAATAAAAACAGGGGCGGGGGTAATGTTATGTCAAATATTTTCTCATTTCAGAGTTTATGGTAGAATTTTGAGTTAGAGCTCTTTTATGTAATGCTGGCCATTCCAAAGTTTGAAAAATGTTGAGGCCACGGTGAACGCTCTTAACAGTGGATTGTCTGCTTAGATACATTTGCAGTGGAGAACTTAATGTAACCCACTTTTGTGCAGCTCTGATTGTTAGAATGGCTTTTTCCCCTTATTAGAAGTTTATTATTTTATTATCTATTTCATTGCCTTCTTAGTTCCCTGGGAGCCCATCCTTGGAACTAGGAGAGTGAACTTTCTTCAGGGAACTTTACCAAAGAAGGAAGACCACTGTGTCTTCTTTTAATTTGACATTGGCTTTTTGGTATTTTCACCAGCCCAGAGTATTGTAGGAGAGTTCACTTCCATGTCTTCTGAGGAATGCATTTAAATGCATGTGGTATTCCTATTTCCATTAACTCTGTGTGTGGTGTCGCTGTAGGAGCGTCAGGAAGCAGAGAAAATGTTCAAGGGCAAACGGGGTGCACAGCTTGCAAAGGATATTGCCAGGAGAAGCAAAACGTAAGATACGATATCCAACTTAACTCTACTTCACCTTCAGAAACATGATCTGATCTGTCTGGCAGTTCGTCTCCTACCAAATTAACGAAAAACTCTGACATATTAATGTGGTATTAAATTTGAGTGCTCATAGTCCAAGCACATCAATGGTCCATACTGCACAAAACATTTCTACCAGGTTAGCAGAGCAAATATTTCAGTAGTTGGTTTTAATGTGATACTATATACATCCTATTTTCTGTATAGGAAGATGAACTGGGTGGTGTTTCTGAAGGAGAGAGTTCTTGTATCAGTTTGTTAACAAAGATAAGATACTACACTGGTTGAATTACTTTCAAAGCCTTTTGAAAGTAAAAGAGAAGCAACTTCTGTTGGTCTAGGTTTAACGGTTATGTTTTTCCCCCTCTTAAGTTTTAATCCAGGTGCTGGTTTGCCAACTGACAAAAAGAAAGGTGGGCCCTCTCCAGGGGATGTAGAAGCAATCAAGGTAATCATGTGTTAGGGTTCTTGGACTGGAACGAGCCGAGATGGGTTCAGAACACAAAGTTGGATAATAAGCATTGTCCGAACATTGCAGACTTCATTTTCCCACAGTTGTTAGCATACAGCAATATTGCTGTTTAGGAAAGGAAAAACTTGCTTGAAGTTATTATTTGATCAGACTTGAAATTACACGAGGTAATTGATGTGGAGGCAGCTTTGTCTTTCTCATTTTCCAGGATGCATTTATCATTTCTAACAGTTACTTACCTTGGTATGCTGTCTCAGTGTTTGCCTTAATTTTTACTTTAAAAGATTTGCTGTCTGGCAAATAATTTTGGCTAATCAGTAGGGACCCTAGTTTTATAATGTTGCCTCCTTAAATTATTCAGTAGTTCCTTCAAATCATTATTCAAATAATTTAAATAGTTATTTCATTTAGCAACAATTTTAGGACATGTAGAGTGATTATTTGCTCTCTTTTATAAGAGGGCCTGCATCTCCTCCCCAATTTTAGAAATTTGTGATTTGGCTTCTAGTTTTATTTCTGTATGCCAATAATATTCTTCCCCCAACACCAAAGTGTTTAATGTTCCAAATGAAGAAGTTGCTGTGAATTTCTGTAGGTGATTGATACTTAGTTTTCTGGGTAGTTGATACTTGGTTGAAGTTAATCATCCATCTCCATTGCCCTCTGTCCTCCAGAATGCTATAGCAAATGCTTCAACTCTGGCTGAAGTGGAGAGGCTTAAGGGGTTGCTGCAGTCTGGTCAGATTCCTGGCAGAGAACGCAGATCGGGTGAGCAAACAGTGTTCTTTGTGCGTTCAAATTAATGTTACACTTGGTGTAACTCTCATAACCATTTAGATGTTATGACCAGAATGCTGGAACAGTGCCTCCTTACATCACATCTAATACATGAAATCCCTTTAAATGCTCTTTGAAGATTAAGTATTGGATGAAGAAAGTTAAGTCCTAGTGCTGTGGGGGGTTTTATGTAAAAGTTGAAGCTAGCATTATTTCAGCCATGGAGTGAACTGAACACTAGAGATAGCTATTTGGACGTTTGCCTATCTATATGTGTGTGTGTGCATACTAGCTCAGTAGTCAGGAACACGGGCTCTAGAGCCAAGCAGTCTGAGGCCCAAATCTTAGCTTCACCAGCACTGCCCTTGGACAAGTTTCTTCAAGTCTGTTTTCTCATCTTTAAATCTACGTTAATAGTACCAAACCTCAGAAGGTTACGGAGAGGCCCAAGACACTGCACTTAGTGCAGGGCTCAACATTAGCGAGTTTTTGATAAGTGGTAGCTATTCTACTATTTGAATGCCTGCTTTATGCTGGGCAGCAGGTGGGGCACTGGGGATATCAAAAAATACTCAAATACATCTTGCAAGTTTTGATATGAATGTAACTGGGGACCTCTACTTAGACTGCTATCTTGGGGAAAGTTTCTAGGGAAATAATATTTGAGCTGTAAGCTAAAAATGAAAAAGATATTTTTTTAAGAACAGTGACTTTCCGCTGGGCGCGGTGGCTCAAGCCTGTAATCCCAGCACTTTGGGAGGCCGAGGCGGGTGGATCACGAGGTCGAGAGATCGAGACCATCCTGGTCAACATGGTGAAACCCCGTCTCTACTAAAAGTGCAAAAAATTAGCTGGGCATGGTGGCACGTGCCTGTAATCCCAGCTACTCAGGAGGCTGAGGCAGGAGAATTGCCTGAGCCCAGGAGGCGGAGGTTGCGGTGAGCCGAGATCGTGCCATTGCACTCCAGCCTGGGTAACAAGGGCGAAACTCCGTCTCAAAAAAAAAAAAAAAAAAAGAACAGTTACTTTCTACTGTATGGTTTGTGGGCCTCTGAGAGTCCATAAGATCAAGCCTTTTTTTTATCAAATACACCAAGGTGTTACTTGTTTTTGTACGAACATTTGCACTGCTGGAGCAATCAGAGGTAGCACTGTGGGCACCTCAGCAGGAATCAAGGCAGCGGGCTAAACAATAGTTGTTATATTCTTCCCTACTCTGCACTCCCAGTAGAACGCATGCCAGTTTCACTTAAGAGTGTCTTGGATGCAGCAGTGAAGGTTATTAAATGTCACTCCTCGAGCACACGGCTCTGATACTCCGGGTGAGAGCGTGGGGGTACACATGTCTGCACACTTGAGTTGGGTGGCTATCTCCACGCACTGGGCAGTTGTTTCAGTTGAGAGGCAGCTGTTAACTGTCTTCTAGCTGTCTTCTCAAACACGATGAAATGAGCCTGTCACTTCAAGGAAAACAATTGAAAATTTAGGATTTCAGGCAAAAATTAAAATTTGGAAAACTTGTATCCACTGCTGTAACCTGCCAGCTTCCCAGTACTTAAAAGACTTTTCTTCGGAACTCAGTAGTAATGTGAATGCATGTGAATTAGTGGGTGTGACATTTTTGATGTGTAATTAAATGTCTCAACATTTGGAAGATCTGCAAAACCCAGGAACCGCTGTTTTCCAAATGATACAAAATCATGTACAGGTAAAAGATTTGTTCAAGATAAACCAAGTAAAGTATGAAAAGTTCATTGGTAAGGTTTCAGACTTCACACTGCTGTCTAACCTTTGGGAAGCTGCTATTTGTCAAGTTTTAGCATAGTATCCAAAAAGAATATCTCTTGTTAGCTGCATTTTTTTTTTTTTTTTTTTTTTGAGACAGAGTCTCACTCTTTTACCAGGCTGGAGTGCAGTGGCATGATCTCACCTCACTGCAACCTCCATGTCCTGGGTTCAACTGATTCTCCTGCCTCAGTCTCTTGAGTAGTGGGACTACAAGTGCGTGCCACCAAGCCCAGCTAATTTTTGTATTTTTAGTAGAGACGGGGTTTTACCATGTTGGCCATGATGATCTCGATCTCTTGACCTCCTGATCTGCCCTCCTCCACCTCCCAAAGTGCTGGGATCACAGGCATGAGCACCACGCCCGGCCTAAAATGTTTCTCCCTTTTCTAACTATATGCCTGTGTGGCCAAATTTTTGTCATGCTCGTCAAACAAAATAGCATATTGCAAGGGATGGAATGATGAAGCCAATACAAGAATCCAGCTGACTGATGTTAAGTCAGACATTCCTAATTTTCCCAAACAATTGAAAGGGTTACAACCCCTCCCCCCAATACATTGACCAAAATATCTGCCATAACAAATGTAACATTTTTTGGTAATTGTTGCCATATTTTCCTAATTTAGAGACAGTAAAGTCATTGAACTGTTGCCAATATCTGGCATGTAGAAGGTGCCCAAATGTTTTTGAGTATTTCCAGTTTCTTTGCTATGGTAGTGCCATAAAAAGCACACAACTGTAGACTTTACCTCCACAAAAATGAATTCTCATCAACTACAGTGGGAGGCAGCAATTCTGAAACTTTTGTGACCCTTTTCCTTTGAAACTGATCATCCCTTCCAGTACCAGCCAAAGACAGACTAGACTGTCCCTGGGCAATAAGCTCCTCAAAGGCAGGGGCTGCTTTTGATCTGTTTGAACCTGCTTCAGTGCCTAGCAAACAGGGGCCACAGAACAAGCACTCACATGCTAAGGAAATAGATTCTCTAAAACTGATTCTACTTTTGGTTTTGTGGTTTTTCTTTAGGGCCCACTGATGATGGTGAAGAAGAGATGGAAGAAGACACGGTCACAAACGGGTCCTGAGCGGTGGGGCAGATGTATAGCAATAGGCCCTCTTGGAACAAGTCCTGCTTTTCGAACATGGGATAATAGCCTTGTTTGTGTTAGCAAAGTGGAATCTGTCAGCATTGTTGAAATACTTAAGACTGCTGCTGATCATTTTGTAATATAAGTTTTGAAATCTAAATGTCAGTTTTCTACAAATTATAAAAATAAACTCCACTCACTGTGCTGCCAAGTTGTGTGTCATCACGGTGTGTTTGCATTGAGGTGTAAGGATGTGTTTCATTTGTAAATGTGGGAGGGCAGCATTTCCTCGGTAGGCTCCTGGGCTGGGTAAGTCCAGCTCCTGCGGTGTCACGAACATGCCAGTAAGGCCACCTTTTCTACCCCCACGTGGCCCTTGTGTTAATGCAGACTTGCCCGTCGCTCCGGCTTCTGATAGGACACTGAAATGATTCCATATTTGGAATTGATTAGTGTGCCCCACTTATCCTGGTTACGTGTTGTTTTTGAGGTTTTTTTTCTTCCCTGAGCTGCTCTCCAACTCTGGCTTTAAGTGATCCTCCCACCTTGGCCTCCTCAAGTGCTGGGAGTACAGGCCTGAGCCACTACCCACCCCTAGTTTTCGATATGTACGTAGTTAACGTAAAGGTCGCACGGAGAGTCTTCAAGAATGTTTGCTGTTGAAAGGGGTGTAACTTACTCATATTTGAAGAACACTACTGTTTGATTGCCATCTCTCCAATCTCCCTTGGCCACGATAGTCGTAATCCCATCTTGTTGCATATACTTTTATGAAAAGCTTGGCACTTTCTCAGTTAGCTGTTGCCACAATAATGCTGTATAACAATCCACCACAAAACTCAGGGGTTTTAATAAACCACTATTTATTCTTAGAGTTGGCTCTGCTTATCACTGTAGGTCTGGATTACCTGGGGTGGCTTGGTTTCTTTCCAGGTCTCAGATGAGCCAGCTCACCTGGCAAAGGCACAAGAAGTAAACACTAGGGGCTTCTTAGGGCCTACCTACATTCAAAACTGACACACTGAATTCTGCCTACTTGCTCTTAACCAAAGCAAGCCATCTCACCAAGCATACAAAGTCAAAGGATGATGGGGATGTAGACTCCTTTCACCTTTTATAGCAGGATATGGCTGTGAGAAAGAGTGACAAATTAGGGCCAGTCATTTAGCCTATGACGTTCAGTGACAGGTGGCAGTTCTGGTTACTGTCTACCTTTGTCCTATTTTTGCAAATAGTACCTGAGCAATTACATTGAGCAAAGTGTTTGTTGAAATACCTTTCTAGTTTCAGACAAGCCAAGCCAGGCGAGGTTATAACACCTGATTACAGGCACAAAGGTAACATAAATGCCTGGCTAGGATGAGTAACTTCTATCAATAGAACCAGGCGTCCCCAAACTACAGCCCGCGGGCTGCATGCGGCCCCCTGAGGCCGTTTATCCCCCCCCCCGCCTCACTTCAGGAAGGGGCACCTCTTTCATTGGTGGTCAGTGAGAGGAGCGCAGTATGTGGCGGCCCTCCAACGGTCTGAGGGACAGTGAACTGGCCCCCTGTGTAAAGAGTTTGGGGACGCCTGAATAGAACTGTAAGAACAATGTGCTGGGAACTGAAACAAGTCAAGTAATTCAAAATCTTGTAGATTTTAGTGGAATATATGTTACACTGTATGGACATACGTATACAACACTAGTTCACAGTAGTTTACAAGTATACGTTGTATATGTTTAGAATGTGCTTTATTTTCATGAGTTAATACTGGTTTCTGTTTTATATGGCAAAGTTCTGAGTGAAAAGGATTGTTGCCTTTTTTAAATGATAGGACCTAAATGTTAGAATTTATTCCATCTTTGTCATTACAGACATTACAGGATAGGGCAGATAAGGCAAATAAAGCAAAAGTCCCTTCATTTCACCAGATGCAACATTTTGGCATTTTGATAATGTGTATGTTGACTTAACTCATTAACATGGCTTGAAAGCCAGCAACCACAAATCTTTGCAATTTAGAATCTTCCTTCATAATCTTTCTCTCTCTCTCTTTCCCTCTCTCTCTCTCTCTCTCTCTCTCTCTCTCTCTCTCTCTCTCTCTCTCTCTTTGTGTGTGTGACAGAGTCTTGCTCTGTCAACCAGGCTGAAGTTCAGTGGTACAATCTCAGGTCACTGCAACCTCCACCTCTCGAATTCAAGCAGTTATCTGCCTCACTCTCCCTAGTAGCTGGGATTACAAGCGTCCACCACCACGCTTGGCTAATTTTTGTGTTTTTAGTAGAGACAGGGTTTCACCATGTTAGCCAGGCTCGTCCGGAACTTGACCTCAGGAGATCCACACACCTCAGCCTCCCAAAGTGCTGGGATTACAGGTGAGAGCCACCATACCTGGCCAGATATTTCTGTAGAGATGGGATCTTGCTGTGTTTCCCAGGCTGGTCTTGAACTCCTGACCTCAAGTGATCCTCCCACCTCAGCCTCCTAAAGTGCTGTAGGATTATAGGCAAAAGCCACCACTCCTAGCCCACTGCAGAGTCCTTGAAGCTCTCAAGTCTTCATCTGACACCTTGTTCAGATGGGGAACTGTGTGTTAAACCATTCTGTTAAGTTACTGTATAAAAATAAAACTGCTCCCAAGCATTGATTGAAACTGTTTTGCTATGAGCTTCCTGAGAGAAAAGTGAGGACCTAACCATTTTTTTCCACGAACTATGATCCCAGTACAGTGTACCTAATGTCCTTCACAGCCTAACAAAAGAGGTCACGCAACCCTGTTCATCCTGTCTAGTTTGTCAGTATTTAGATTTAAGGTGGATTTAAAGCTAACCTGAGACTGAGGATTGCAACTATAATCCTAAGAGGTCATCCAGTTTAGTACATAAATGTTCCTGCAAGATGCCAGAGCAAGCGAGAAATCACTCTGAAGCAAATTAAAGAGTGATGATGGTTCATCTTTTACAAGTGAAAGGCAAATATGAAGAAGGAAATGATATTCTCCCTCCTAAACTTATTAAATTGATAAGCTATCTTCACAGCCTTTACGGATCACATCCAGAGTCCTCAATTTGTTGATTGAGGAGTGCATTTTCAAGGTGGCCAACAGGGAATTAGACTTTTCAGGTTTTTTTTTGCTGTGGCATCATGAACTCCAGCTCCCCTTCATTGCTTTCTGAACATATCGCTGGGAAAGCTTGATGAGGTCAGTGCACAAATCCCGGCAGCCATCCCCGTTGAGGGACTTCTTGGCAAACCCGCATTGAAGAAGTGCTCGTTGCACTCACGCTTCATGTCAGGGTTTGCCTTTCCCACATTGCTCCTGGCAATGGTGGTGACGGAGCACTAGGATGTTGTCACCTGTTTATTATTTTTTCATTTATATTCCCAATTCCCAACCCTTCTTTTGAGACACATCTAGGTATGTGCACTGCAAATGCTTCTCCAGAAAAACCCAAGGTCAAATGTCAAATAGGATGGTTATGGTCACCATGAAAGTGGCGACATTTGAGTGGTGGAAGAGGGTGCAGAACAGTAGGTAGAGCAAACAGCCAGGACACTATTATGAATAACTGTGACAGTGTCTTGTGTTACAGTATAATTCAACACAGGTTAGAGCCGTTACCATGATCGTTTTTTCCTTTGATTTTGGAGATAAGAATCTTGAGGATCAGTGGGGACTTTCTTGGTCTGAAAGGTATCACCGGCAGCAGGAGCAGGAGGCTGTCCACATTTCGTGTTTTCACCTGTGGGAGTGGACGCTGGCTGCAACCCTCAAATGCTGCGGGGAGTCAACCTACTGAGCCGTTGTCCAATGTGCCCAGGGCAAGGATGTGGGTGCAAATCCTGCCTCCGGGGGGCCCTGACCGCCTTGGCTTCGGTGTCCTATTAGGAAAAAGAACGGAGAGATTCGGTAGGAAATCCCTAAAAGAGGTTGGTCCTCCGCCCCTACTCAGGCCAGGAGCTGGCGTCACAGAACGTGCCCGCCCTAGTCCCAGAGAGTGTGGCCGGGATTCTCCCCCCCCCGCCACGCCCTCGGCCACGCCCCAGCCACGCCCCGGCCACGCCCCCTCTGCGTTAGGCCCAGCGTCGGGGCGGGGTCGACCTGCGATTGGCCGGGACCGTAATCGCGTCCCGGCGCGCCACGTGTGCGTAGAAGCGCTCAGGAAGCGCCCTGCTGGAGGCGCGGTAGCGGGGCCGGGTGGCGGCGGCGGCGGCGGCGTCGACGACCGTCATGGAGCGGGAAGAGGAGCCTCTGTCCGCGCGGCCGGCCCTGGAGACCGAGGGGCTGCGCTTCCTACACGTCACCGGTGAGTCGCTGCGCGGCAGCAGGGCACGCGCGCCGCCATGATCGGTGGGTCTTTCTCTGCTGCTGGCGGCGCCGGGGCCTGGGAGCTCTGGGAACTGTCGGGCGTTGGCGCTGACGCGGGCTCTGGGCAGCGGGCCCGGACCTTGCGCGGAGGCCTCGCGGGAGCCGCACTTCCCTTGGCGGCTCGGCTGGCCCTTGTTTGCGCAAGTCTTTTTTGCGAACCAGGCTCTTCCTGTTGCAGTTAGAGTCTCTCGGCCCTTGGCATTTGCCTCCGGGACCTGCCCCGCACGGCCCCAGACACACTCCTAACTCCCCGCACTGCCACCCCCTTTCTATGTGGTTCCCTAGGCCTGTTCAAGGCCTCCGCCTTCCTGGTTCAGATGAGTTGCTCTTCATTTTTCAAAACCCAGTTGTTGTGCCCTCCACCCCCTGACTGCCCCCGACTCCCCAGTTGGTTGAGAAGTCTCACTTCTCGGAGATCTCCGAATTGTCGCACTTCTTGTTCGTGTTTTAACGATCTACTTGGGAGGCTTTGTCCTCAGCTAGACCATGGAGGCTTTGAGGGCAGGAGTTACACTTTGTTGAGTCTTAGGGAAAAGTCAGCTGGTAGTGCCATTTTTGGTTTTTTGAAAACTTTTTTTTTCTTTTCAGTGGGCTCCCTGCTGGCCACCTATGGCTGGTACATCGTCTTCAGCTGCCTCCTCCTCTACGTGGTCTTCCAGAAGCTTTCCGCCCGGCTAAGAGCCTTGAGGCAGAGACAGCTGGACAGAGCTGCGGCTGCTGTGGGTTAGTGCCTGATAACCGAAACGAAAGCGGTGGTTCTGCACCTCCTCCTCTTATTAAGAGTTAGTCTCTTATTAAAAAGTAGGACGGGCCGCATAGCAAGACCCTGTCCCTATTAAAAAAATAAAATAGGCAGGAGTGGCGTTACAAACCTGTAGTCGCAGCTGCTCAGGAGGCTGACGCAGGAGCATTTCAGTCCAGGAAGTCAAATCTGCCGTCGGCTATGATTGGGCCGCACTACACTCCAGTCTGGGCAATTGACTGAGACCCTGCCTTTAAAAAATAACAGTAAGAAGTATATGGTTCTCGGCTGGGCTCGGTATCTCACGCCTGTAATCCCAGCACTTTTGGGAGGCCAAAGCCAGCACATTGCCTGAGGTCAAGAGTTCGAGACCAGCCTGGCTAACATGGTGAAACCCCACCTCTACTAAAAATACAAAAATTAGTGTAGCGTGGTGGTAGGCACCTGTAATCCCAGTTATTGGGGAGGCTGAGGCTGGAGAAATCGCTTGAACCCAGGAGACGGAGGGTGCAGTGAGCTCAGATCCTGCCACTGCACCCAGCCTGGGCAACAGAGTGAGGCTTTGTCTTTTTTTTTTTTTTTTTGAGACGGAGTCTTGCCTTGTTGCCCAGACTGGAATGCAGTGGCGTTATCTCGGCTCACTGTACCCTCCACCTCCTGGGTTCAAGCGGTTCTCCTGCCTCACCCTCCCAAGTAGCTGGTATTACAGGCACATGCCACCACACCCAGTTAGTTTTTGTATTTTTAGTAGAGGTGGCGTTTCACCATGTAGTTCAGGCTGGCCTCAAACTCCTGACCTCGTAATCTGCCCGCCTTGACCTCCCAAAAAAAAAAAGGGCTGGGTGGGGTGGCTCACACCTGTAATCCCAACACTTTGGGAGGCTGAGGCGGGCTGATCACCTGAGGTCAGGAGTTTGAGACCACTCTGGCTAACATGGTGAAGTGCTATCTCTAGTAAAAATACAAAAATTAGCTGGGCATGGTTGTGTGTGCTTGTAGTCCCAGCTACTCAGGAGACTGAGGCAGGAAAATCGCTTGAACTCGGGAGGCAAAGGTTGCAGTGAGCTGAGATTGAGCCACTGCACTCCAGCCTGGGTGACAGAGCAAGACTCTGTCTCTGAAAAAAAATTAAAAAAAAAAAAAAAAAAAAAAGTAGTATATGGTTCTCATGTGTATAGGGGGAAAAAGAACATTTTTTCTGCTTCTGAAGCTGATTTCGGTCCATGTGTAATATTTTTCTGTTTCAGAGAGTTAATGAAATGGAGAACCTACCTGATGGTGCACTGAGTGCATGTCTTGTTGGATGGCTTTTCATCTATAGGCTGGTTTAAAATGGAAACATTTTCTCTACTCGTAGGTCTGCCTACTAACTCTGAGTTATCTCTAGAACATTTTGAGAGAAATAACAGGCAGCCTTATTTCTTCACGTCCACCTCAGTTTGATTTTCACTAACTTATCCATCAGACCTGATTTCCAGTTACATTTACCTGTTTAAAAAACTCATTATCTTTGAAAGGTAGGCTTTTCACTAGTTAGAAGATACAGTTTCTGTGGACGTATCCAAAGGAAATGCTACATGTTTTTAGAATAGTGATTTAGTATAAATTGTCATTCATCTGAGTCACTGGTACTAAGATTGAGATGGTAAGCTTTGTTTTACAAACCAGATAAAAATACAGGTTAAGCTGGGGAGTTCATTTCCATTCATAATGCTATTTGGAAAGATTTTTCTTTCTTTTCTGTAGAAACAAATACCTAAGAATCTTACTCCTGGGCTAATTAAGGGATGGATGATTTAGAAAACTTTATATTTCCTTGGTAGTCTTCCGGGATTCTGGTCAACCTAGAGACTGTGAGTGTCATTGAGGTACCCAAAATGTGCTCTGTGTGGCCATCATCCCAGGCTTTATGAATTGGTATTGCTCAGGAGAACTCAGAAATTGACACTTCTAACAGGTTTCTGGTGATGCAGATATTTGGAGCTAAAATCCATGGCTCAGCAACAGACCCCTGCACGTCGAAGCAGTAAAATATATGCAGAGGGGTCAGGATTACGCATGTAAAAACATGTTTTATTGTCTAATGTCGATACCTCTTTGTACTTTTAATAATGCGGACACTCAGAAGTTTCTATTGTACAAAGTGCTTGATCTCAATTTTTTTCTGACGTTTTAGAACCTGATGTTGTTGTTAAACGACAAGAAGCTTTAGCAGCTGCTCGATTGAAAATGCAAGAAGAACTAAATGCTCAAGTTGAAAAGCATAAAGAGAAACTAAAACAGGTAGCACCTGGTTTCAGTTTGAATATGTACATAGAAATTGGCTGAGGCTCAGTGGATTACAATGGCTGTCTGTGTTGTCTATAAGCTTCTAGGACCAGGTCCGGCCCCATTAGATTTAATAAGTACTTCAGTTCCTACCATGTCAATATTGGTGATATCAAGAAAAATACACTATTGTTAGGGAACAGTAGGTGTGTGAATATTTTATAGTGAGAGGTACAGAGCGCAGGAGGAGGGACAGGTTGGAGCAGGGTACATGTGAGTGTGTGCGCGCATGCCTGTGTCTTCCACATTACCAAAAATGTCCTGAGAGACGTGAGTTTCAGAAGAACGTGGAGTCAGTCATTTTTTTCATGAAACATTTTGTTTTCTTTAATAGCATACAAAAAAGTGCCGGGTGTGGTGGCTCACACCTGTAATCCAAGCACTTTGGAGGCCAAGGCGGGCAGATCACCTGAGGTTGGGAGTTCAGGACCAGCCTGACCAACATGGTGAAACCGTGTCTTATAAAAAAAATTAAAAAAAAAAAAGTGTACAAAAACCAAAGCTGTTCTTTGTGAGTTAAAATCATACCGTCAGATCACAACAGTTATATTAACCAAAGAAAATGAGGGTGGCGTTTGTTCTGAAAAACACTTAAATTAGGAATTGTCAGTTACTGTTGCCTTTGAGAGCAATGGCAGTGTATGAATTCTTTCTGTACAATGTGATTGTTTCTCAGCTTGAAGAAGAAAAACGGAGACAGAAGATTGAAATGTGGGACAGCATGCAAGAAGGAAAAAGTTACAAAGGAAATGCAAAGAAGCCTCAGGTGACTGGAGACTTCGGCCAGCTGGCATTTTGCAATAGATGAAGATTGCCAAGTAGAATGTTTCCGTTGTTTGTTACACTTGTGTGTATTTAAACAGGGGGAAGACAGTCCTGGGCCTTCCACTTCATCTGTCATCCCGAAACGGAAATCGGACAGAAAGCCTTTGCGGGGAGGTGGTAAGCACCACTGATATCAAATGTTAACAGATTTTCAACACTTACAGGATATAGTTACCTTTTATAAACAAGACTGTTTCTTTGGGCATAAATTAAGACCAATTCTTTAGGATTTTGAAGATTCAATAAAGGAAACAGAGGCAAACCACCTTCTAGGCCCTCACTAAGTACTTGGAAGGATTGTACTTTTGTATTACAGTATTCTCACTTGATGCCTCTGCAGTCCCATAGAGGGAGAGCTAATTAGGATGAGGAATTCTCTGCCAGTCTTCAGATGAGTGTCAAGTATCTGGAACACAGTGGGTTTGGCCTTTCTAGCCAGGACCACCATGTTTCTTGCAAATAACAAGGAGTGGCAGACAGATGCTTTTTTTTTTTTTTTTTTTCCCAAAGCTTTTTCCTGTGTGCAGCACTGCCCTGGGGACTCTGGGTGGTGCCGTAGCAGTGTGTCTTCATCCCATCCCCAAGAATTTCCAGTCTGGGAAGATGGGACTCACAAACAAAAATAAGCAATCTTCTGTGATTCTGGCTAAGGGTTGCAAGTTACTGCTGAGGAATGAGAGAGCAAAGACACTAGAACACTCTAGAACACTTCCGGGGCGGAAGACTTCGTATTCTCTGTAGGAGGAGAGAGGGCGCAGCAGAGGCCTGGAGACCTGATGGTGTCTGTGAGGACTGAAGAAAGACTGGGACATTGGCCACAAACTTGGCTGACCTTACATGCTGAGCTGTAATTCCCTTTGTGTGAGGAGACTAAACCTGGCTTGCTGTGGAGAAGGTGATACATCTGGAAAGAAAATGCTATTTTTAGATGGTCCTGCTAGAAGCTTATTTTTAGACGCATAGAGGTGATATTTAGGCTAGGAATGGAAATCGTAGAAGATGGAATGTGTGCATGGCCTCTTTCAGCGTCCCCAGCATTCCTGAGCTGGGGCTTTGACTAGCCTGGTTTTACAAATAGGGAAACTGAGGCACAGGATTTTTATTGCCCAAAGATTCCACTACAAGTAAGGAGTAAAACCAGCATATTTAAGTTCTGGCTGACCCTAGAACCTGAGCACTCAACCAGGTCCCCGGTTGTCCATTGACTTTGGGAAGCTCAGGCGGGAGTGGGGCAAGGGGAGCGGGGAAGCACACAGATGACCTGGCTCTGACAGGTAGAAGTGTCAAGTTTCATTCTGTTTTGATTTTTTTTAATCCGTTTTCTGTAGCTTGAACAGCCCTTACTTGAATGTGTGAGTTTCAGTGTGATAGGAGGCTTCGTACACTTAAATCAGGCCATCTTGAGGAAGTTTTTGGTGACTGTTTTGCATGTGTTTTGGAGGTTAGGACAAAGAAGTTGAATGACTTCTTTTTTCTCCACCAGAAAATCAATTGAAATGGCAATCACAATATAAAGGTTTTTGTTTTTTTTAAGTAGTAGCTAAAATTTTTTAAAATGTACCTTAGAATCCGTATCTTTGCAGTGCTTTGCATGTCAGTCAAATAATTTTATTTTGGATATAGAATGTTCCCAGATTTTCAGATTTTTATCCGTACTGTTTTGCTTCCTTTCTGTCATCCCAGGTTATAACCCTTTGTCTGGTGAAGGAGGTGGAACCTGCTCCTGGAGACCTGGACGCAGAGGCCCGTCGTCTGGCGGATGAGGCTAAGAATCTTGTTAGTGTAGCTTTTGACATTAGCAAGATGAATCCTTAACCCTCGATTCAATTGCCTTACGCACGCTTTTCACAGTGACTAGCCAGGGGGAGGTGGGGTTTGTTTCTGTTCATAACTACACCTGCATATGTAAGGGCTCCAGGCAGCAAAGGGTATAGATGTTGCCACTAGGCATTATGATCTGATCATGTTCCATTTGGAGACAGTGATTGCATTCATTGATTTCATGGTTAATTGCTAGTTGTTAGGTAAAGGCCTCTAGATGATTAGCAATCTAAAAGAGTAATGATATTTTGAAGTTAGAAATTTTGCTGCCAGGACAGTCTCTGTGATGGGTTGCGTTGAATGATGTCTTCCTTAGCAATGGTGAGCCCACCAGTGAGGATTACTGATGCAGACAGTTGTCGGGGTTTGTTTCTGTATATTTATTTTTATGTACAGAACTTTGTAAAAATGAAACTGTAATTTAAAAAAGGAGGGTAACATTTTTAGCATCTTTCAAGGAAATTTGTGGACTTGAATTTGTCTATCCAACATTAAATAGCTTTTTGTTTCTCACAACCTCCAATTATTACTATTTCTCCATTTACTTATTGTTACTTTATTTCTTATTACTTAGAAATTATTACTTATTTCTCCATTTATTACTGCTTACCCAAAATAAGTCTGGCAAGTGGCAGACAGCTGTAGTGATTTGGAAAGTTGCAGGCTCCTTGGGGTTCATCCAGAAAATCAGATGCTTCGAGTCGAGTCGCTGAATCACCGGGATAAAGAAGCATCATGCCTTGAGGTTCGTCATAGGCTTCCCGGGTTTCTTCCCGTCGTCTCAGTTAGTCCCTTTCGCCACGACTCATCTGTTACGCCTTTGTTCAGAGGCGCTATCAGGAGTTTTGGATAAAGAGCCAAATAGTAAATATCTTAGAAGTCATGGGCCACATATGTGCTCTCTTAGGTTTTTATGTTTTTAAGGGAGTGTTTTTAAAATGATTATTTTGCTGATGGGCTGGATTTGTGGACCCTGCTATAGAGTCTAAATCAGGCGTCCCCAAACTTTGTACACAGGGGGCCAGTTCACTGTCCCTCAGACTGTTGGAGGGCCGCCACATACTGTGCTCCTCTCACTGACCACCAATGAAAGAGGTGCCCCTTCCTGAAGTGCGGCGGGGGGCCAGATAAATGGCCTCAGGGGGCCGCATGTGGCCTTTGGGCTGTAGTTTGGGGACGCCTGGTCTAAATCATCAGAAGGAAAAACGTTAACCTTCAGAATAGGGGCAGTTCACTACAAAAGTATTCTAGAATGGTCTTATACATAAATTACTCAACATTTATTATCTCCTGCAGGTAGAATACTCTGTGATTGCTTCTTGACAAAGGGAAATACAGTCTGGATGTGTGAGACTTAAAATCTTTCGGGGAGAGCCCCCGAGAGGGTTGAAGGAGAGGAAGCAGGATCCGTGAGCAGTATAGTTACAGTAGGTTGGCATAGTCAAGACTTAGTCTTTGAATCTAGAGAGATTTGAGTTACATTTTGCCTTTGGAGGAAATTGGGGGTTTCAGGCCAAAGAAAGGGTCAGTGGAAACAAGGGTGGGCCTTGTGAGATGTGGGGAAGCCCTTGGATGCTCATTCCCCTTCAGGTGTGTTAATGGATTGGCTCCGCACCAGCACAGAAGATTTACAATGTGGGAAATGGTATACTTGGATTACAACGTTTCATCCAGATTTGTTTACATCTAGAGAGAACCCCTTGTAGAATACAAGGAAACTCCTTAACATTCTTCCTTGAATATGTTTTCTGTAGCTGAAATGTGTGTGAAGTGGCTGTCAACCACACATTTCACAAGTAGAGGGACTCTGGCTCGGGGTTTCATATGCAGCAGAGCGGCTCCCTTACTGCAGTCGGTCAAGAGCCCTCAACACAAGAGTTTGTTATAAATAAGAAAAGTAGAGGGGCATGTTTTAGTATACTATTAGATGTGACTGAGTACCTTGAAACCTGATTTTTTTTTCATAAATTGAGAAATTATCAAGTCATGAGCACATGGGAAGAAACAGTGCTTGAACTCCACATGCTCCCGTTATATCTAGCGCCTTTTAGTGCGGGGAGGGAAGGAGGGTGTCATGGAGAATTGATGAGATAATGGAGGGGAGAGGGCAACTTGTGTTTAATAGCATTTGATGAGCGCTTACCATGTGGCAGGAGTGTCCATTTCTATTTGGTCCCCATAGAATGCTGTGAAGTGGGTATGTTACTAACCTTGGTTTTCAGAAACTGAAGCTTAGATGGATTTTGTAACAAACAGGTCCACAACCCTACTCACTGCGGTCTACTTTGTCCTTGTGTTCCTGTTAGCCAAAGCCCTCAGGTCCTCAAGGTGTGGGGAGCTTCTTGTAGCTAATGAAACAGTTACAGGGCTGGGCACGGTGACTCACGCCTGTAATCCCACTTGGTGAGGTGGGTGAATAACCTGAGGTCACGAATTCGAGACCAGCCTGACAAACAGAGAAACCCGTCTCTACTAAAAATACAAAAAAATTAGCTGGGCATGGTGGTGCATGCCTGTAATCCCAGCTATTCGGGAGGCTGAGGCAGGAGAATCGCTTGAACTCGGGAATTTAAGGTTGCAGTGAGCCAAGGTTTCCCGATTGCACTCCAGCCTGGGCAACAAGAGCAAAACTCCAATTTAAAAAAAAAAAAAAAAAAAAAAGTTATGAATAATTCAGTGAAGATCATGTTACAGATCTAGGGCATTAAGCATTTCAGAAAGGCCATTTCTTGAAAAAAATGAGAAGTTGGGGGCAGAGATGCAAATGCCAAAAGCTGAGGCCTCTGGAGCAGAAGGGACTGGGCAGAGCCGTAAAAACCGTGTTTGAGACCTAAGCAGCGTGCTTGCCTTGTCCAGCAGAGGCTGCTGCGGGGCTCCCGGTGTGTCCTGGCAACATGCGGGAGCTTGGGACTGACGTGGCAGGCACTGGGAGCTGTCAAGGTTTAGATGATGTGTGGCACACCCCGTCCTAATCGTGGAGCAGTACGAGTAAGCTGTGGGGCAGAACACACACGAGTCTTGAACTGGAATGCTTAGGAGATAGAGTTGTGCCCCTGGCCAAGTGTGAGGAGAAGACTTGAGCAGCCATGTTTGGATCCCATTCCTGCCCAGACGCCACTCTGCACCCGCTTCCTCTCCTCTCATGCCATCTCCACTGGCTGCTCATCAGATAGGTAGCATGCCAAGTCTGTCTCTCCTTGGAAAGAGCAAGGCCCTGTCAAATGCACAGCCCCAGGTGCCTCAGTGGGCATTCCTTGCCCTACTTACAAATGTGGAAGGTGCTTTTACTGGGTTCATCGCATTTCAAATGCCAGTGGAATTTGGTCTCACTTTATTTGACTTGGTTTATTTGACTTGGTAGCACATTTTCTACATGCCCCTCCCTGCATCCCTCCCTCCTTCCTTCTAGAACACTACACACTGGGTTTTAGCCCCCATGATGGCCCATACCTCTCTCCTTTGCCAATTGTGTCATGGTCTCTAGTCCTGAAGAAGTGTTCGTAATTTCTCTTCCTGCATTTGCCATAAAATCCATTCTGCTGAAGCTGCACGTCTGGTCCCCTGTGGCAGGGAGTGACGAGTCGCCTCGTTTCAAGCTGCACTGGAGGTCCCCTGTGGCAGGGAGTGACGGGTCGCCTCTGTTCTCGCCTGAAGTTAGCATCCTTTGCGATCATGGAGCACTCCTTAAGAAACACCTCACTTGGCTTCCCAGACGCCGAGCTGGCCTGGTTTTCTCCTGTGTTTCTGGCCGCTCCTCGTTCTCTTTTGCTGCTTTTTCTCACCTTCCTGAAACCCCTGGGGTGCCCAGAGTTGCCTTTGAACCTGTTCTCTTGGCCACATTTGTCCCCAGTCTCATGCAGTGGCTGAGGGGACTGCCCTCCCCCCACCTTTCTCTTCTGACTCTAAGGAGATGAAGGTCAGGTTGCGGTGACTGCTGGAGCATCTGGTCTTTCTCTGGTACAACTGTCTCATTTTGTTGTAATTGTTTCTTTTCCTCAGTCCAAGACAAAAGGAGTGACCTCTTTGGTGTGTGGATGCATCCCGGACAACTAGAACAAGGCCTGACACGAGCACCCACCTCATGCAGCTAGGAAAGGCAAGAAGGAAGCCATCACTAATACCACGTGGCAAACGTGGCATTGTGGAGACCACATATGTACAAATGCATCTTCTAGTGATAGTGCACTTGGGTAATCGTGGCTTACGATAGGTATTCAGTGTTTCATACCCCAATTGAAATGTCTGGTCACAAAGAACTCGTGGAAAGTGATGATGGGCTCTGGGAAACCAAAGGCTCAGAATGGGCTGGGGGTGCCGAGGATGCTGTGGACAGTGTAGACACCGGCCCTGCCCTGCGGGCCTTGAGACAGTGAGCATTGCCCATCACAAAAGTAGGTGATGATAGCTGATGAAGGTCACAGACGGGAAATACGCATTCCAGTAAGAAACGATCTGACTGTGGGAGACCTAAGTTGAGGTTTATTTTGTAGCCACAGATTCCACTTCTATCGAAGTAGGGATTGGAAGTTGTAGGAAATAATTTAGAGATGAAACAACCTTTTCCTCTGTCTTAGCTGCTGTAACAGTACCACAGACTGGTTGGTTTATAAACAGCAGGCATTTATTTCTGGAGGCTGGAATACAGGATCAGGGTGCAGGCATGGCCATGTTCTGGTGAGGCCTTCTTCCAGGCTGCAGAGGGCCAACTTTTCATTGTGTCTTCATGTGGTGGAGAGCGCTCTGGGGGCCCCATTACAGGAGCACTAATTCCATCATGACCTAGTTATCTCCAAAGGCACCCCCGGAATACCATCACCTTGGGGGTAAGGATTTCAACATGCTAATTTGTGGGGGGACACATACATTCAATCCATAACAACCACAAACCAGGAGACTAGTGTTCATTATTGGTACCTGTTCCTAACACTCCTCAGTAGATGTGTCTGTCGTGAGATCTACGTGGTCCTTTGCAGATTCCTCCAGCAAAGGCTGGACAAAGCACTGCCTCTTGGTGGGAGGAGCCGTTGAGTCACATTGCAAAGGCGTAGGCACAGGGAGGGGAAGCAGCTGGCCTTCTGCAGTAGAAGTGAGTCTACAGCCTTGATATACATCCTTCCACCTGTGAAACTTCTCCCCACCTGGGTCAAGACTGCCCCAACTTGATCTTTGAGGACTATCCCCAAAATGGATAACCAAGAGAATTACCCAGCAAATGTGAAGACTTCTGCTCTGACCAGTACACAACACCTCAGTCCCAAAAGAGCATAGACAATGGCCTGTATCAGTCAGGGTCAGCTGGAAATGGCATGCCCACATGGACTAGCTGAGGAGCATTCAGTAAAGGAGCTGTTTGTCAGGATGCAAACAGGGTTAGGCATGATGAATCTGGGCGGCTAGCAATATCGGGGAGCCTTTAATGCCCGCAAACCTGAGAGCAGTTACCAGAACATGGGGAGAGACGAGCCTTCAATAGAGACAGCCAGCTCCCAGTGACCCAGCAAGAAGGACCGACAAATGCCCTTAGTCTCCTCCCACCCATTAGTCTTCTGCCTATGCCTCCCATTGGCTGTGCCCAACTGGAGGTGTGAGCCTCTGAAGACGGCATTAATATCTTTTGTTTTTTTTTGAGATGGAGTCTCACTCTGTGTCCCAGGCTGGCGTGCAGTGGTGCGGTCTCTGCTCACCACAACCTCCAGGTCCTGGATTTAAGCGATTCTCCTGCCTCAGCCTCCTGAGTAGCTGGGATTACAGGTGTGCACCAGCACACCTGGCTAATTTTTGTGTTTTATTTTTGAGATAGTCTCGCGTAGTCTCGCGCTATTGCCTGGGCTGGAGTGCAGTGGTGTGATCTCAGCTCACTGCAACCTCAGCCTCCCAGGTTCAAGCGATTCTGTGCCTCAGCCTCCCTAGTGGCTGAGATTACAAGCACCCACCACCACATCTGGCTAATTTTTTTTTCGTATTTTTAGTAGAGAAAGGGTTTCACCTTGTTGGCCAGGCTGGTCTCAAACTCCCAACTTCAGGTGATCGTCCGCCCCTGCCTCCCAAAGTGCTGGGATTACCGGCATGAGCCACTGCGCCTGGCCTTAATATCGGCTAAGCTAATTGATGATTGCACTCAAGGCGACTATCAGGGGTTGAGTTGTGTTCCCCAAAAAGATGTGCTGAGGTCTTGCCCCCCTTCCCCCTTACCTGTGAATATGCTCTTATTTGGTACTAGACTCTCAGCAGATGTAGTCCAGTTGAGATCTACTGAGTTAAGGTAGGTCCTGAGCCAATGCGTTAGTGTATGAGTTGGATAGGCCTGCTGTAACAAAATGCCACGGTCTGGGTGGCTTCAGCCGCAGACATTTATTCCCTCACAGTCCTGGAGGCTGGAAGCTGGAGGAGGTGCCTCAGGGCTTTCCTCCACGGTCTCTCTTCTTGGCTTGCAGATGGCCACCCTCCAAAGTGCTGCCTCGTCACAGCGTGTTTTCTCTGTCACGATGGCCCCTTCTGCTTCTCCTAATCTGACATCAGTCATATCAGATTAGGAGCACCACCCCACGTGACTTCAGTCATATCAGATTAGGAGCACCACCCCACCTGACTTCAGTCATAACAGATTAGGGCCCGCCCTAATGGCTTCTCCTTCATTACTTCTTTAGAGACTATCACCAAATACAGTCTTATTCTGGAATACTGACGGTTAAGGCTTCAACATATGAATTTTAGGGGGGACAATTCAGCTCATAACAATTGGTGTCCTTATAAAAGAAGAGAGGAAGCCAGGTGTGGTGGCTTAAGCCTGTAATCGCAGCAATTTGAGAGGCTGAGGCAGGCAGATCATGAGGTTAGTTCAAGACCAGCCTGACCAAAATGGCAAAACCCTGTCTCTACTAAAAATACAAAAATTAGGCCGGGCGC